TTGCCCTTCACAGCGGTGACGTAGTGGATCAGATGATCCTCGGGATCTTTGGTTCCGTCATATACCCTTAAGTAGGGTGGCATCTTGAAGGTTTTTGGGGTGGAGTGAGGAGCAGCTTCTTCGGTGTATGGTTGTTCAACGAACCTTCCCACGTCGCGTTTTGGTAGCAACTTGGGAGCGCCGGGGATCTTGTCGACCCTCTCCTGATGTTCCTTCATCTGACCGCGGAGCGCCTTGTTTTCGTTTTCCATTTCTTCCATCTTCTTTAGGATGGCTGTTAGCGTGCCATCGTTGGTCTGTGTCTCGATGGGTTTGTTATTTGCTAGTGTAACTTCCGGTTCACCTACTGCAGCAGTGGTACCTACCGTTGGTGTACATCCGATGTTATTTTGTGGTGACCTCTCAGCCAAGCCACTTAGAGTGCTTGTTAGCCATCTTTCCAGTAGCTCTTGACCGCTGAGGTGGCTTCCGTAGCCGCAGATGTGGAAGCTCCTTTTTTGTGCAAGATCGTCAGACCTTCGGATGGGGAAGGTGAGATCTCTGCCCCCGGTGTGATGCTAGGGGTTGCATTCAGGATGCCATCGTCACTGGCCTCGTTGAGAGGGCCAAGGAGATTGGTAGTGACACCCAATATAGCTTTCGATCTTGTGTTATTTTCGGCCATTTTCTGTATTTGTGTGGTGTAGAGAGTGGTAGTTGGTTGATCTCTAGGTGGATACTATGGTTTTGATTCTCGAAATCCCCACAGACAGCGCCAAATTGTTTAGCTCAAAAATTATATTCGTATTTTATAAGCTTAAAAACAATCGAAAATATATAGGGGTATATCGTAATCAAATATAATAAGCCCAAGAGATGATTATTGCTTCAAGAATGTTTGTAGATCTGTAAGTGCGTAATGAAATAGACTTAGCTTAAGAGGGAAGCAATGGTTGGAAAATCAAGAAAGAGATAAGAGAGAGAGATAGAGAGAGAAATTGTATTATCCGAGAATCCCCCTATTACAATGTGGAGGTCTCCTTTATATAGTAGGAGGCCTCCCTCGAAATAATCAAAAAGGTACCAAAGTTGGTGGCTTCTACTCAGTAAAAAGGTCAGGCACTAAACAACGTTACTTCTTCTTCACCAACTTGGGCCGTGCCCTCACTCGGGTCGCCCTTATTATAAGGGACGTGCCCGTTTGGCGTGGGGGCGTTATGAGCCAAATTTAACCCTATACAAACTGTCCCTAGCATTGTACCAAAACTGCTTGCTTTTCGCCATAAAAGCATGAAAGCAATTGGGAGAACAGCTGATCCTATGAAAATTCCCATGGCTAAGTACATCCAACCTAGAGAAACCCCTGCCTTGTTTAAAACTACTGCTAAAATGCCCATGAAACAGCCAAATCCTAACACAACTCCTCTTGAAACTTTTAGAATTTGTTTTCCACTTGCATCCGGATTGATGTATGCACGATATATGTCATATGTACATAATGAAGAGACTGCAATTAGCTCAGATGAACCAGCTGATGTGACAGCCCTAATAAATACAGAAGAAGTCTTATAATTGAAAAGGTAGCAGAACATTTTCCACGCGTAATTCTTGATTAGGCACTTACATAAAGAGCATGTGAGGAGAAGAATCGACCCCCCTTTTCCCATCAAAGCAATAGCTGTAGCTGGAGGAACTAGTCCATGGCTAGCCTCACTTGCTGTTATTGGTAGATCAAGAGCTAATGCTCCAAGACCTAGTGATGTTGCCAAAGAGAATGGCACAGCAAACCAAACTAGACCACCCAACAAATAGCCCTTATGCGTCGATGATGGTCTTGCAGCAATGGCACTTACCCAGTACCCCTACATTTCAATATTTTGGTTATTAGGAAATGATGGTTACAGAGACATTCCATAAGCTAGTTTCTTGCTAAATTATACGAAAGAACTTACATTGTCAACGAAAACTGTGCCAAAATTTCCCACGATGTTGATGATACCAAAGACAAGACCACCTGAACTCAACATAGTAACATAAGACCCCTTGAAATTCCCAGTAACAGGACCACAGATTGTCCAACATGGGAGATTGGCTCTTGACAATTTCTTGACTTGCTTGCTATTATCTCTAATAAACGTCTGTAAACCAGGCTTGGGCTGCCAAGTTCATTGCTAGCAACATATACTAGGTACACAAAGATGACTAAAACCACGTGTACTGAAATCAACAACCAGAAAATATCTTAGTTGAGCGCGTGAAAAAGAGTAAAAAGCTAGAGTAAAATTTAGATACCTATGACAGAATGTATATAGCTCGCCAAGAAAGTAGCTTTTATCCCTCCTGCTAAGGTGTAAACTATGACACCAAGAGGGATAAGAAAACTTGCAGCATATATATTGACGCCAGTGAGTGCATTAACGACAGCTGATCCACCAAGAAGCAGCATGGCTGTTACTATAATGTTGGTCAAGAAGCAAAACCCCAGAAAAACAAGATGAGCAGCTGCCTGCCCAAAGAGAAGTTTTTAAGTATACAGCAGAATTATGAATTATCTTCATCTTTGGAGTTTCCATTACAAACCTTGCTTTCACGATTTCACAGACCAGTTACATTGACAATAACAATGGTACCTGAGACACAATTACACTAGCAATATTTCTACCAGCTGTGTTGAACCATTCTGATGTATGACGGGAGCCAACATATCTTTTTTCCAGCCAAACCTTATAGCAACGCATATATAGAAAATTACAAATAGGAAAGATGATAAAGCTATAAGCCCATATGCCAAAGAGAATCAAATAAGTATTTCACACATGCGACTATGATTTTGTGCCTTGCCAATTGAAGGAACATTTATCGTTGATCAATCCACTATTGGATAAGTTGAAGAAGATAATAAGCAAAGTGGCTCCACAGACGATGAATATTCTTTAGGAATTAAAATTATGGCAGAAAATGTATTCTACAGATTCCGGATAAGCCAGATAAATTTATAAAACCAGTTATAAAAGAAGGACAATTGGAAAAGGTTGCTCCACAGACAATGCCTATACGCTGACACTTGAAAAATATAAAAAGTCGTACAAGAAAGAGAAAAGGAAAAGTAAAACTAGAATACATACCAGGAAAGAAGTGAAGACTGCGAAAAAAGCTCCAAAACCAAGAATGACAGAGTAGCCAACACCCTGATTAACAAGAGGTTTTCCTCCAAAAAAGCTGCTTTGCCTCACACAACTATCCCCATCTCCAGAAACACTATAATATTTTGATGAAAATTGAAAAGGTGGACAGTTTGAAGCCATTTGACTCATGATGAACTGATAATTAATACATCTCTTGATTTCATATAAGAACTAAGGTGTAAGAATCTTCGTATTGATAGTCAACTGATTTAGTCCTACTTAAGAAAAAATCAATTTAGAGCCAGCAACTTGGAATTTTCTTGTGACGTTATATATGTACTACTTAATTACTACAAAATCTATGGAAATTTGTGCAAGTCAAACCAAAAATGGAGTTTTCAATGGAAGTATTAGATGAATCTTCAAGTTGGCAGTGACAGATTCAAGGGTCACTTTCATGGCTTTCAGAATCTTTTGTCTTGGAGTAGCTGGATATTTTCTTGGTTGAATAGTTCCATCAAATAAGAACCGAAAGATTAGTTTTTGTAGTATTATGAGTGATTAATTGTGTAATAAAGTACGCCATCCTTTGATTATCGAATTTAAATATGGGATTTTTAGAGTAAGGTTGTAAATACATTCCATAAAAGCTATAGCTACTAGATTCTGCTTCACAGAGATGTCTAGCGAAATTGTACCTAGTACATGCTTTTAAGAATACACCATATGTATTAAGTAAAATATTTTAAGAACATTTTACTTTCTAAAATTCATAGTACAAGTTCAGAAATAAGAAACACTTAACACGAATAAATCAAGAAATTACAAGACACTAATCATTAACTAATGTTTAAGTAACTGCACCCGACCTCGACCGCATAACCCATGACTTTCTTTTAAATAGTATTTCCCCTTAATTTTTTCCAAACAAATCCACTCGCTATCACTCCACTTCAGAGGCGGAATTAGAAGCTAAGCTAAGGGTTTAGCTGAGTCCAATAGATTTAGTTGAAATTTGAGTTTGCAATAAAAATTTCAATAAATATGTACAAAATTTAAAATCAGAACCCAGTTACTAAAACTTAATATCTCTATCCTAAAATTTAAAACTCATAACTGAGATGTGTGGTTCGACTTATATTTCATTTGAAGCGTGCATGTTAATTAAATTGGGAACGGTCTGACCATCTTGATCATCGTATATATAGTATGCATGAGTTGAGGTCCATTGGGTTTTGCTTAAATGTTGCTTAACACATTTTGATCAAATTTGAACCCTAAGCTCAGATGGAGAGGCTTAGGTAGGCAAACTAAAGGCCCTCGAGTTGTTTTTGAATGAATGATTTTTGTAATGAATGACTTCTTCTTTTGGGCGTAGAAGAGTATGTGTGTTCGCAATTGCCGTAACTAAACGAAATTCTTTTTTATTAAGGACGTAGTGTCCTGTTTTGCAAATTGTATTGAAAAAGTTAAGGACACGATGTCCTTAATTTTTTTGCTGTTGTTCTAAATATTAAGGACATAGTGTCCTGTTTTTGCAAATTGTATTGAAAAAGTTAAGGACACGATGTCCTTAATTTTTTTGCTGTTCTTCTGAATATTAAGGACATAGTGTCCTTAACTTCATGACTACTGTGTAAATATTCAGGACATAGAGTACCTTAACTTCGTGACTGTTCTAAATATTAGGGACATAGTGTCCTATGTTTTGCAAGTTGTATTGATAAAGTTTAGGACATCATGTCCTTAACTTCACGATTGCTGTATAAATATGTCCTGAATTTCCCATTTTCCTAACTTGCAGGATGGAAACAATATGTATTATAGTTGCTTTTAATGGTAGATGGACTGCAGATTGTAAGTATCTTGATCATCAAACAAAGCTTGTTCTAGTACCTGAGGCAATTTAATTTGAAGATTTCATTAAACAGGTCTTTGAAGTTATTGAATTGGATAGAGACAAGTTTGAAGTAATGATATGGTTTGATATCAACCTGGGAACAAGCAAGAGAATGCTTGTATCCAAAGATTTAGATCTTCACACATGTATAGAGTTACTAAAAAGTCATTCACTCTTCAAGGGCTGTCGTTTCATTGTTGATGTTTCGGAAAGAGTTTTTGGTTCTACAAGCACCTTTGAACATGTCAATAGAGAAACTCAACATGACAATCAAGACAAATGCCAACAGATAATGGAAATAGATGTGGTTGAAGCTCAACCAATAACTGAGGAGGTGCTTCAAACATTTGATTCTATTCAAGTGGAAGGACAAAGCATTATAGAGATTGACAACGAACAAGCTTTGGGTATTCAAGTCTTAGAGAGTGCACCGGTAATAGAAGAAGTTGCTGAAAAAACCTCTACTCAACTAACAAGACGACGTCCGTTTTCAACCGTCAAACGAAACACGTCAAACGACGTCCATTTTCAGCCAAACTTTACAGAAAGCGCTTAAACCATATATAAGACTTGTACCGGGCGCCGGAACCAAAATACGAGCCCAGTACCATAGTCATTTAATCAAATTTTATTTTCATTTTCCTTAATCATTTCCAGAAAATAATTTCACACAAAAATTTATTTCTCGGGCCTGGGACCTCGGAATTCGATTCCGAGCATACGCCCAAGTCCCATATTTTCCACGGACACTCCGGGACCGTCAAATCACGGGTCCGGGTCCGTTTATCCAAAATATTGACCGAAGTCAAATTTATTCATATTAATATCAAAATTTAGCATTTTTTCACACAGAATTCATATTTAAGCTTTTCGGCTACGCGCGCAAATCGAGGCAACCTTAAATGAGGTTTTCAAGGCCTCGGAAGCACAGAAGGAGTAAGAACAAGTGATGACCCTTTGGATCGTCACATTCTCCACCTCTAAAACAACCGTTCGTCCTCGAACAGACAAAAGAAAGAAGTACCTGAGTCGGGGAAAAGATGACACTACAAAAAATTTGTCAAATTGTGGCGGTTTATTTATGGGAGTCATAAAAAACTCCCACTATACATTTATTTTGTGGCGTTTGAGCCAACCCCCACAAAATAGTTCTTATTGCGGCGGTTTAAATGTGGGAGTTATAAAAGACCCCTACTATATATTTAATTTGTGGCGTTTGTTCCAACCTCCTCAATTTTTTTCTTATTATGGCAGTTTTTTGCGAAGGTTTTTGATAACTTCCACAAATATATCAATTTCAGCTGTTTGAGAAATTGTTGCAATTCGATACAAATTAATGATTTGACTCATGCAAATTTTTAGTTATTTTTCCATCTTATTTCTTTAAAATTTACTCAAATTACGTATTTTAGTTAAAACAACTGCGAATTAATGCAATTTACATCAATATCTATATCTTCTAGTTTGTAATCTTTTTCTTCTCACTTTCTTCAACTGCAAAAAGAAGATATGAGGTCTTCCATGATCTCTCTATGTCTTACTCGCTAGTTTTTCATTTATTGTCTTTGTACATTTCTATAATTCATCTCTTTATCTTTAGCAAAAAATAAATAGACATCTATTTCATTTCTTCCTCATAAGTTTTTTATTTATAGATTATACAAAATGTCGACCCATAAATACTAAACATAATTTCTAACCACGTGAGTATCGTGAACCTTTAGGTGCAAAAAAAGAATATGACCGGCGTTGGACCACGACATTGGTAACAAAAGAATAATGCAAAATGAGCCATCACAAAAGTTGAGGTGTGGCTCAACAAAAGCAAGGAATGAACGGTAATTCAAGCTAGTCTCACCGTCACAAGTGATACTTGTCTCCAAAGAAGAAGACAAATATATAGAGAATTGAATAGATCAGGTACTCACCGAGTCTCACTGAACAAAATGTAGGGTCAATGAGGCCAAATATAAACGAAAAAATATGCTTTAGGTTAACCATAAATAATATTTGCATTCATAGGTAACGGCTACACATGAGATGAACAACAGTTGCAGGAGAGACATCCAAGTATTTTAATTATCTACATAAACATTTAATTTTTTTTATTTTGTTTGAGATAATTTAAATTTTAAAGGGGTATAGATAATTGCAATACTTAGCATGCGAATTTTCTTTATTTTCATCATAGCAGGCGTTCTACGTTCAAATAGTATTTTCAAAGGCGGGTGTGTGAGGCGAGCCATTTTACTACGGGACGATGTGTAAGCCCCATATATCTTTAATTTTTTTAATTTAAAAATTACGCATAAATAGAAAGTCTATTAAAGTTTAAGAAATTTAAAACGAAAATAAAGAACTCATAAAAAAATATCTAGTATGTTTTTACAAATATAAATAATACAATAGTATTAAAGTTGTTGTGAGATACAACTAAAATGTCTTAATTTTCAAACAATTAGAAAATTATAATTTCTTTAAAAATATATGAAGATATATTTTACCTCCCTGAAAATAATTAATCAAGAAAGTTCATCAATCTAATATTTAAAAGATTACTCCTTCATGTATATACAAATTACTTTCAAAGAGCAAAACATACAAGCCTAATGTTAAAGTCATGAAGACCAATAACAATAAGATACAAATTTTAGATTAATCTAAAT